TTTTCGTCAAAACGGCAACTAAACGACTAAGAAACGTAGGTGTTCTGTATACAATACGGTCGTACAAGACACATTATCTGTAACAGATAAGATTAAGAATTATCGATCTGGACGAAATCAAATTTACTACACAATGTACAATGTACATGCATATTGTTAATCGCCATGGGTGATTATAAAAACCAATTTTCGTTTTAAAATAACATCGCTACATCCGGATTATCGTTATAACCGATATCGTTATATACGAATAAAAGTATTATACATAACATTTGAAACCAACCAAATACATTGATTGGAATCGTTTTGCCCGGAATATACGTTATATACGGCACCGAATTCGACTGTATGTATTATTTCGTATTATGGTGAAATGATTATAACGTGCGTTTCCGTGGCAACAATGGTTATTTAACGAAAAATTAAAATAATAAAACTTAATAACAACAATAAATAAATAAAATCGGTCGCCAATCGCAACCTTGTTTTTAATCTTTTGATCAATTTTAATCTAAAGAACCAGGTTTTTCTCATTATCTCGAATATTAATGATAATTTCAAAAAATGACCTCTTTAAAGTACCACCCAGAGAACATTTCCTTTCAGAAAAGGTGCTATACTCGATAATCGAAGTATGCTTTCTGGTAGAAAAAGTGTTAAAAAAAAAAATAATGATAATAATAAACATTTTTTTAAAACTCAGAATCTCTCCACTCAGAATCTAAAAATCGTGTAGTTTTCAATAGTGAATAGGTTAAAGCACTTTACCCAAATATTAAACAAAGTAAATAATTACTCACCAGTACATATTGTTGTTGTTCGTCTTCGTGTTAGTTTTCTATCGAAGTTTGAAAATTACCCGGTCTAAAAAGGTTTTCACTGCACTTAATAAGTTCCTCCGGTGTTATATCGGAACCGCTCGCTTGTTTTATGTTTTTCCCTACTCTTCCTGCAAATTTTTCGTTACACTATATGAGATGTGAGAACTCATATCGCCTTCTCCTCGGCCATGCTACGACTGGAATATTATTCTTAGAGCACCGACCCGTAGTTGGGCGTTTAATATCGACGATAATTTTAGAGTCGGTCGACTTTTCCAATTATGTATACAACAATTTACAAATTTTTAGTAACCGATTTTTTTTTTTTTTTTAGTCCGGATTCTGGCGATTTTCCCGCGCGGACGGACTGGGAACTAATGTCGCCGAAAGCCATATTGTTATTATTTTTTTTCTTTCGATTTTCTTTTCGAAAAATGTTTTTTATCATATTGCGCGAACGCCGCACACGCTATTAATAAATCGTCGATCGCGGACCGACCGCGTGTGTGTTAGCGCACACCGTACAATACACAGTGTATTACACAGCATGTACGCGCCGACGACGATGAGTTGTGCGCGTATATTCTTTTTCGTGTACTCGTGTTCAATACAAGTATATTACCATTATTATTATCATTATTTGTGCGATCTTGTCGATATATCCGAACGCTTTTGTACCGCCGACCGGAGTAAATGCGGCGCACTTGTCGGAGTAAGTAAATTATATTGCCTGTATACGCGTACGGTACTTGTGCGTACACATAAAACGGACCGCCGGCGATATACCGTCGGTTAACACACGACGAACACTTTGTGTTATGCGGCTGCGTACACGCCGACGCGGTCGTGAGCCGTGACGGTATAACATCGTAGGACGTTATAAAAATGTACGCGAGACCCGTGCACGGGTTACCGGCACCTAGGTCCTGTGCGCATGTACCCGGGCTGGTATCCGGTGACGGCCTTCTTTACCGGCTTGAAAGGCCCGCGCGAACGTGCGGGCGAGTACGTTGATGGCGAGGACGTGACGAGTCCGTGGTCCCGTCGCCGACCGTCTCTCGGTCTCGTTGACGGAGCGCGGGCGTTTTTTTTTCCGCGAAGAAATTTTCAAAAAAAAAAAACGCCTGCGAATATGCTGCGGCGTCGATTTCGCGCCCTCGCCGTTCTCACGCCCTCTTTTTCCACCCTCGCCCTAAACTTTCGCCCGAACCCGATCCCCCGCACCGTCCCCCTCGTACGCCCGTCGCCGTTCACGATCATCGCACCCGACCGCCTCTTTTTCGGTCTTCGTCTCCCCCTCTTTCGTCCTACGTCTATATTCGCGTTACGATTCTTACGCTGCTCCCGGTTCCTCTCTCCTCGCGGACCGCACCTGTTCCCAGTACGATTTTCTCTCGGTTCGTCCGCCACGACCGTAGCCACACCTACGGTACCGCTTACGCTCTTCGCCGTATCTTCTCTCGTCACTCCGCGCATCCGCTCGAGCGTACTCGCGTTCCCGTCTCAGCTACACGCTACCGCCCGACACTCCGAACAACACAACACTGCCGGTCTCACCGCCACACGGTCGCGGAACTCGCTCCCCTTACCCAACTGACTCGGAAAAGTGTAAATTTCCTGCAACGGTCCTCCCCGTTCCCGTGTTCCGGACGGACCTGTATAACGGCTGTGTTCGACGCGTCGCGCTCGCGCACACCGTACCTACCCGTTTATCAGTAGTTTTTCAACCCGTTATCGCGTCCGTTCGGCCACGGCTGACGTCATCGCGTGCGAATCGCGCGCGTTTCACGGACGTTCCGGCCGGGCTTTTCGAACCCCGGACACCGTCGCGCAACGGCCGGGAAACGAAACGCGCCGGTGTGCGCGCCGAGTCGCGGCCGACACGTCATTGCGGCCGCACTGCCGCGGTATAGCCGCGCGTACTGACAACACGGCGATAAATAACAGACACGGGATTTTTCGCACCCGCGGTCCGATTTCCGTGCCGTTCGACGGGTATCGCGGCCGGGTACGCTGCTGGTCGGGTTGATATTTTTCGCGCGCGATATTTTAAAAACGCGCGAGCCGCACGTGCGACGGGTAGGTAATACGGGCGATACGTGACGATGTACTCGCAGCGAGAATCGTTTGCGGATTTGCGCGACGGCCTGATGCTTGGGCAGAACGTGTACCCTGCGGTACGGTCGAGAATGCGGTACGCGCTGCGGTGCGCCGGGTTTCTTTTAATCACGCGTCATTGCCGTGGCACGTTGATTGCTATTATTTCACGGTCGAAACGCCGCCGGTTCCGGGACAATATTGTCCGGCGAATTATTTTTAACGGCATGTTCACTAGGAAAAAAACAAAAATGCCCCGCTAGGCTTTTCTCTTTCGCTTTTGTAAAAAAATAATTACCTATCGTACGGGAATCAACGGTCGATTGGTCCCCGCAATATGCAGACAATCGCCCCCCCCCCCCAGACGGCGTAATTTTATGCCCGGACAATTGGTCTCCGGGAAAATTTCGTTTTCACATTTTTGAACACAGGATAACTTACAACATAACACATCGGAATCTTTCGACAATAAACTGCAACATATTATCCAGATTAAACGCCCGAGTATTTATATGCTTATTGAATCAATACAGATAATTATTTCAACTACAATCATATAATTGACTAAGAACAATGACAATTTATTTTTGAATAATTTTATGAAACGTAAAAAAAATGCCCGTGCGGGACGAAAATTTCCGAACGTGCCAGCCGTGAAATATCAGCTACTTTATCCGCAAGAGGGCGCGTATCTCGTATATCAAGCGTCCTTCTTTTATATCGTTTTTTTTTTTTTTTACCGCCAATTTTGTTTTTGACACGCCGTCGAGTCGGTAAAAGTTGTTTGCGGTAAATGTGTACGCGCATGCGCTATACTTGATGTCCGCGAACGATGTATCGGTACAATACGCAACGAAACCTTCCGAGGAGTCTGGTTCGAATTTAAATTATTTTGGACTGAACGAACCGAGGAGTGTTTAGATTTTAATATTTATAGTTGTAAATATATTTATTTTTTTTATTGTTTTCATAATAATAATCGGGATAAAAACCGATTGGTACACTTCGCACCATGACGGGTGGATCGCTGCAGTTACTATTGTTGGGGTGTTGAGAAAGTATAGTATAAAACTATATCCTACAAAGTGATATAAACGATAAATAAATTAACGCAACCGAAAAACGATTCAGAACAAAGTTCGGCTATACACGTTTCGAAATGTCGTATTAAATTCGAGCGATTTTTCTGTTCACTCGCCATATAAATTGAAAACGTCAAACGCCTCTGAAAATAGTTCGAAAATCGTCAAATGGTTTAAAAATCGTGCCAAATTGCATGTAAATATCATAACGTGACGGTACACATGTCATAAACATAATTACCCCTTCTCCCCCCCCCAAAAAAAAAAAAATCGAAAATAACCACACCGTATAAACTCTAAGGGCGAACCGCGCGGAAAATCGAAAAACCGGCAATTTTTACGCGCCGGTCGAACAAAAGAACTGTGGCGGGGGAGGTGACGGGTGGCCGGGAAAAACGGCCAGTGTAAACGGTCGGCGTAACCGTGAGAACCGCGCGGCGTGGACGACCCGGCGGCGGTTACGGCGCGGTCCGCGCGTTTCGTCGGCGGGCGGTGTGGGACCGGGGAGAATATCCTCGCGCGAAACCGTCGTGCGCGGACAACCGGCGGCGGCCGGAACCGGGCGCGGGCATCGCGGCCGCGGTTATTTACCGGCGCGATAGCGCACGAGAAAAATAACATCGCGTTTTAACGCATTTCCCCCTCCCCTACCTCCCCCCCCCGCCGGTAACATTGTTGTAATATTGTATTTTATCGCGTCGCGGCCCGTACGGTACGTTCGTCGTTGTAACGTTATTATTATTACGACCGCGGCGGCGGTAATAATATTACCCGCGCGCCCGTTGTAGGCGGTCGCCAGGCGCGGCGGGGTGGGAGACGGACGGACGGCGAAAAAGTAAAAAAAAAAATTAAAAGAAGACGAAAACCCGAATCGAACCGAACTCGCGTGGCGCGCGCGCGTGTGCGTGTGTGTGCGCGCGTGTAGCGCGCGGCCCGTAGTGGGGAAACGAGCGGTGTTGTTGTACGGTGTAGTGTAGCGTAGTAGTAGTAGTACGGGTGTAGTAGTAGTAGTCGCCCGCAGTCACCGACGACGACGGCCGGCACCACTGCGTGCGCGTTGCGTACTGTTATTGGACCTTATTGCACGTTGTACCGCCGCGGCCCGACGACGACCAGGAAAACGACGTCGCAGCCGGCAACAGTACCGCCGCAGACCGCCGTTTCCGGACAGACGCGCGGCCGGAAGGAAATCGCGCGCCGCCGCCACCGTCCGAGAGGACAGGTAAGCCCGCGCGTTGTCATTACGTACGAGAGCGCGCGCGTGCGCATATCCGTTTTATTCGCGCGGAAAAACCGTTTCCGGGGTGCCCCGACTAACACCCTATCCCCACCCGCAGCCCGGCGGCCGACTGACCCTGCCCCACTCCCGGCGTCCCGGCGGAGCGATGAACTCTTCGCCGGCTGTGCAACAGGCACTGCACCACCACCGCCAACGACAGCAACAACAACAACAACAACAACAACAGCAGCAGCAGCAGCAGCAGCAGCAACAGCAGCAGCATCAACAACAACAACTGCAGTCGCCCGACATCAACGTCATCAGCAACAACAACAACAACAACAACAACAACAATAACAAGAACGAGGTGGCCATGGGACAGCTTTTGCAGAGATCGCTCCAGAACGTCGCCCTGTCGTTGCAAACGACGTTCGTCTCGTCTCTGCAGCAGGCCGCCCTGTTGCCGCCCGATTCGCCGGTGGCCGCGGCCCTCAACCTGCAAGCTCTCGAGTCGTACATCACGCTGCAACGGTTGACCGCGGTACCCCGTCAACCGGTGGCCGTCGCGGCCGCCGCCGAACGCTCGCCGGTCGCCGCCGCCGCCAACACCGCCGCGAGTAGCGTGGTGGTCGTGCGAGAAGTTTTCGATGGAGACCACGACGACGACCGACCGTCGTCATCGTCGTCGTCGCCGCCGCTGTTGGACGACGACGAAGACGAAGACGAACCGTGTCTGCTGTCGGACGCGAAAAACGGCGCTGCGGCTGCGGCGGCCGCAAAGGCCGCGGCCACGGCCGCCATAGTCGTCACCACCGCGGCCGGCAGAAGCGGCCGTTTGCCGGCCTTCTCCAAAGAGCTGTCCGGGCTGTCGCCCAGAGCCAACAGGCTGTCCGCGTCGTTGACCGCGGCCGCGGCGGCGGTCGACGAAAGCTCTTCGGCCGCCGCCGCCGCCGCCGCGGACGAACCCGTCGCCGCCGTCCTACAAAATCATCTCCACCACGACGTCAACGGTCCCGCCCCGAGGCCCAAGAAACAATTCATCTGCCGGTTCTGCAACAGGCACTTCACCAAGTCGTACAACCTGCTGATACACGAGCGCACCCACACGGACGAACGGCCGTACTCGTGCGACATTTGCAAAAAAGCGTTCCGAAGGCAGGACCATCTCCGGGACCACAGGTGAATATAACGCTAATGTCAATTAATACCGATCGCAATCGCGTTTTGCGCGTACCGCCGTTGCGACTCGGATCCGGTGACCGTGTTTCATGCCATCGCGGTGCCAGCGCGGGAGAAAGGGCCGCGGCGGTCGTGCCTTTCCCTCGCGGATCGTGCGATACCGTCGAAACCGCCGCGTATGTACACGCTCGGGATGAGTCACATTATTATCGTTTTGCGCGCCGCGGACGTTAACGAGTTCCGGTTATGAGCTCCGGCGAAACGTGTCCGTCTCTACCGTCCCGGATCGGCGGCGGTCGCGTGTGGTTGGGCCCGGGCGGTCCGGTCATAGGCGCACGGGTACAGGGTACGCCGGCCGGTTCGGGATTTCGGGAATCGCGTATCGCGTTTTTAACATCGCGAACCTGCAGCGGCGATCGCGTCGGTGCGATATTGAGAAACGGACGTGCGGTCGTCGGATTCGAGATTTTCGACCGTAAATGCTGTTGCCCGCGCTCGGTACGTAGGGAAAGAATTCGAGATAACGCCCCGGCCCTCAACCCCCCCCCCCTCTTGACTGAGCGGACGTGCGACGGTCAACGATTATTTGTTATCGATGCATTTTTGAACAAAACATAATAAAAAAAATGGTTGGGTTATTAAACCTATTCAAATTGTGTAGGTATTTAATTTAAAAAAAAAAAAAAAAAAACCCGTTCCAATATCTCCAATAAATTAAGGAAATGAGAATCCGTTCCTATCACGAGTTTTAACTTGAAACTTCTGTGTGTACTGAATAAATAGCGGTTTTCACTTACACCATACTGTCGAATTTTTTGAATTTTTTTTTTTTCTATTTTAAACGTGCGAGCGATTCGGGAAATACGACACGAAAAACACGGGCACCTCGTCGACGTGTTCCACACACGCGCGACATTTGAACCCGTCGCCGCGTTCGGCTGGTTGAAAAGTCGGTACCCATATTATAAGTGCATAGGTACCCGGTCCTTTTGAACGGCGAGCTGCTTTTATCGGCCCGCGACTTTTAAAACTTCAAACGAATCCACTGTTTTCGGAGGTACGTACCGAGATACGTCGACAATACGTTTTAATTTCGAATTTTACAGCGTCGCCCAAAACCGGCACGAGCGTCGCGCCGTACACAAATAAAGACAAATCTAATCGATCGGTCGTCGTCCCCATTGTGTACCGCGTACGTACCCGTACAATAATAATTGTCGCGAATGACTTCGTGCCGTTCCGCCGCACATACAGGGCGATCGGCGTGACGTTATAAGGCATTAGTGTTCATACAACAGACTCCCCTGTCCCTACCGAAAACTTAAACGTGGGATATCTCGTCGTAATGCGGGTCGCCGTTCGAAAATCAAAAGTATAGGTAACGACGGTTCCACACCTTAAAATAAGGGCGACATAAAAATAACCGCGCCGGAACGTTTTGCAATTACTCGTACAAGTAATCCAAGACACGAAATCCCGAAAAAAAAAAAAAAAACCAACACATTCCGTGATAAATTCCGTTTAAATTGTATGCGAAACGCCTAGATCCATCTGATATTTGATTTTTAATTCGTATACACATCGTGATTGTCGTGAGTTATAGTTAGGTTTTTCTCTTGGTACTATTGTATACAATCGATACGGTTGACAATTTTTGTTTTGTTTGACTGGTGTTGTGCATTCGGAAAACATCGATGAGTGTATTGCTCCCCCAGCACAAGCTCAGCATTCAGGGGCCCTTCAATATTGTTGAAATTAAATTAACCTAAAATTTACCTGTTGTATATTATTTTATTGTCGATTATATATATTATTATTATTATCATGTCGATCGCCCTGTATACGCGTGGGTGTTAGTGCCGCAGTTAGCGTGTGATGATATTCGCTTTATCCGCCCGTCTCGCGATAGGATAGCAGCGCACTGGTGCGCACCGGACTTTTCGGCGGTTCCGACTTTGGCGCGTACGGACCCGAATATACGTCGGAGCATTCACTGCGCCGCGGACGAACGGCGTTTTTTCTAAAACTATTATTTTCATTTTTAAAATTCGGCGCGTATCCGATGTAATCTCGCTTGACTGTTGACCGTTCACAATTGCATTGTTGATCGCATTAACGAACGGTATTATCGAAATTGTGAAAACCGTTCGGTCGAGGCACGAGAGGTAGTTTCAAATGTTCTCATTCGCGAACCGTCCTTTCGCCCCGAACCCAACCGAGGCCGCGCAATCGTGTTGGAGTGCATTCGGCACTCCTCGCTATAGTACCCGTATTACGGGCGAGACGGACCGAGCAGACGAATCGCGTCTGGAGGCCCCTCGAACGCGGCGTACGGGTTCCAGATTTTAAAATGTTTTTTTTTTTTTAAAAAAAAGTTTCAATCCGCAAATCGATTTACATAGAAAGCGTACGTTTCGCGTCTTTGATTAGTTTAACTTCATAGCAATATTCGGCTCGCGCGTTCTCCGCCTCGGTCTTTCACGGTTCACTTCCACTACTCGGCGGCCCCCGAGTTTTTCGGGCTCTTACGCGTGCACCGGGCTCAGTAGAGTACATCGTCTGCGATACTTGCGATCGTGCCATAATACTTCCGAGACACCCCTAATAACACCCCGCAATAGAGTAGACACAGTTGCGCAGAGTGTAACGTGGGACATGTGCGCCCCTTCCCCGTCATTAGGTCTACGAGGGCCGATTTCGGTGTGATCGGCGTCATTTAACACGTATGAACTCCCGGGTTAATTTCTCGTTTCAGTCCGCCCCCGAAGCCGCGGCGGAGTCTCTCCGTGCCTCGGCGTATCGTCACGCTGCCGTCTCGATCTTTTACAGCCGTGCCGTCTGGCGAAGTTCTGATCCCTTTTACCGATTCCCAACGCTTCTAAGCGCGCGCGTCTTCGTTTCTGTCCGTTTCTTGTTCCCCAGCGCCGCACGATGTCTGAAGCCTCTAAAACGTTTTCGTCTGAAAATTTTGTTTGAACTCCGCGTTTCGCTACTTACGCGTTATACGTACTGATCCGCATGGACAGTCGAGCAAAATGTTTGTCGGTGTTTATTGTTTTTTCATTAGTAGCAAATGCCTTTTTTGCCCGTTTTATTATGTTGTTTTTTTTTTCTTATCGCGTCCACGCTAATCACGTCGTCATCCTTAACCTTGGTACCCTGTACCGCTAAAGGATGTTACTCACTCGCGAATAAAATGTGCGCTTGATACTAGTTAAACTTCTGTGCTTTTCTAGGAGGTTCATTTCAGTCGCTTATTCTTACGACGGGCGTGAACAGTGCCGATGGTGTATTTCGGATTCGTTTTAACTATCGCCGTAAAACGAGCAGACGGGATACTGTTCGCTTTTTCAACATTTGTTTTTTTTTTTTTTTTTAATTTCCAGTCGGATCTAAATAACCGTACGCGGCCGACAACCGGACGCGATAAGTAACCGTCTACCTGTATAGAAGAAAAAAATAAATAAAACTATACAGACATTATCGTTATTGTCCACGGACGCGTATAAAATACACGATAATATTATTATCCTCGAATCCTACCCGGGTCCCTTTGTCGTGCCAGCGTGTACAACGAACAACGAAAGACGATCACGTCGTGAAACGTATTAATTTCGGAAAATCGTGATGGGTTTCGTTTATTTTTTTTTATTGATATCGTTCGTTATCGTATTATTAACGTCCGCATATACGCCCGGCCTAACCCAAACGCGTATAATTGTGGCACGCGGTCGTTTTATTTTTTTTTTTCTCGGTTTTTACGACTGTTGTCGTTTTGTTTTTTACCCGAATGACCGTTTCCTCGGACGAGCGTTATGTACCTATAGAGGTAGGTAAGTAGGTAGGTAGATAGGTATAATATACCGGATTGTTTAGGCGTATACCACCCGCGATCGCGGTGGTGTTACAATAATAATTCAATATTATGATTATCTTCGGAGGGTGGTGGTGCGGCGTCGTGTGTGCGTCGCGGTTATCGAGTTAAAAAGATGTTATCGTCTCGGGTTTTTTTATTTTTTATTATTATTATTATTATTTCTCAAATAATAATTTACGAGGTTCACCGAAAGCGGTACCGGAATAATGTGTATGCGGTATAAAAAAAAAAAAAAATGCGTATAAAAAAAAAAATCCCACGTCGACCTATGCGCGTCCGCGTATCGAGTTACCGTCGCCGCGTCTTTTACGACGATTCTCCTCTCGCCAACGACGACATCGCGCAGAGATCTACAAGCTCCGATCATTTGCGCGATACACGATTTTAATCGTCCGGTACGTATACCGTGTATATATATATACACGTATATACATGTATGTGTACGGTAACGTCCAGTCATCGTGTGTCGCTCCTATCCTCACGATATCGCGGGGCCGTTCTCCCGACAGTTCACATTATCGTATACATATATATCGTTTGTAACGGCCGTCCGCGGCACGTACCCGTACGGAGTCGCGTATTATGTTACGAAAACGGTATTTTATTTTATTTTTTTTTTGAAAAATCGAAAAGAATTTTTATTGGGTAGGTTGGACGGCGAGAAGATTCCTATTTCGGACGAAAACGATGCGCGCGCGATAATCGGTCCGGTTTTAAATTATACGCGGGTATTATTACATTATTACACGCATCCGTTTATATCGCGTCCGGGCGCTCGCCGTCCTCTTCTACCCGCCAAGTCTTTACAAATCGCTCTATATCTTCGGTCTCCCGCGCAGTCTTAATACCGGCGCGCGTTCTACGACATCCCGTTTAACTCTATGATGTCTATCCGCCTCTGCCCGGAAGTCTTCCTCTACACGTATGGTCTACGGAGAATATTAAAAAAAAAAAAAAAAAAATTACGAAAATTCGGTAACTGTCTACAATACAATGGTAACGTTTTAGTCCGCACGCCGATTTTCAGGCCGTAAAGCCCATTGTATGGGCTCCGTACGGCCAGTTTGTTTATCCCCGGAAATTCCTCCCTTAAATAGAAATGATTCGGACAGTCTTCTATTACACGGCTCATGGTCCGCCGCCGACTCTTTTAGGCCCCGTTTTTTCCGTGCACATCTGCCTCGTCCGGTTCCAAATCTCTTTAGATACGCTCATCGCCTTCCGGTTAGGTTTACCCCTTGAAGTGGTGCACGGGTCGGTCTTCAACCGACTGTCCATTTGTCGGCAATTCATTTATCCATTGGTTTGTCCGTTTAGCGGGTAGAGTCACTATTCCAACAACGTTCCAAACTGGTTTTCTCCCCTGTATAGGCGTTACTCCGTCGATAGTGTCTGCCTTTATACATCGTTTATTACCGGCTGTGCACATTGGATCGCGCCATCCGTTCCAAACGTTTGCCCCTTACAAACCACTCGATATTGGGTTTTAGATACGTTCGGTGCGCCTCTCTAACGGTTCTCGTTCCGCATTACCCGTTTTAGGGCCGTAGACACGTCACGGTGTTTTTCTCACGAAAGTCGGTAATTTCTCTCGATCACGCCGTCGGCGCAGTCTTCGGCCGTTTGAATGGTTCGTTACAGTTCTCCGCACACGTTGTAATTCGACTCCTCTGAACTCTCCTTGAACTCTCCCGCGTCCGTGCGTCTATCACGTTTCGTTTCGCGAATTCAATCCTCGGCGTTCCTGTCGGCCGATTATAGAACTGCAATACCCACGGCGCACTGCGTTTAGCTATCGCGACGCGGTAAACGCCCCCGTCATTTCGTTCCTTCCGAATTTCATAATGAGCGCTATGAAGTTCTCGTTTTTCATTTGTTCCCGTTCAGTGTACACGGTTCTTGTCGTGTTGTAATTCCCGCGGTCCGCTTTAGTTTCAAACGATAACACCGCGGCCTTTATACATTATAGGGCCGCGCGTGTGCGGCTTTGGACATTTTTCGTCCTATCAGCAAGTCAATACCGAGGTTCACCCGATCGCAGCGTTCGGTAGACAACGCGAATTCGATGCGAGACGGCGCGCAGTGTACTGTTCAATCGCGTAGCGTCCGCGCGGAGCACCACTTTATCTCACCGATCACGTGTGTAGTGCACACGAGTGACGCGATCCCGTGAAAAAGCCATAATGTTATAATCGAGCCGACATGGAAATCGCGTGTCGGACGCGTCGGTCCGCCAGAAGACTTCGGCCGCGATAATCGCCCGTCGAACCCGTTCATCGATATCGATAAATGTCTTTCGAAGCCGTACGTTTTTTTACTGACCATAGCCGACGCCACCGCGGAAACGCTATTCAGAAGTATATCCTTCCCGCTCGGGAACCAGGAGCTGTACAAAGTTACGCCCTTTTTTTTTTTTTTTTTTTTTTTTTAATTTACCCATAATCACACGCAAACATATTTTGCACTGTCGTATTGATTATATTTTCATATAACTATGAAACTATAGCTGAAATGAATTATTGTGAAAAGAATTAACTGTGCGTGTTTTAAACTAGTTCAATTAAAATTCGTTAAACAATATGACATTAATCTTTTTTTTTTTTTTTTTTTTTTAAGTTTTCAACTCGTCGCTGCCCAGTTTTCATTTAGCATTTACAGTTCCCTGTCGGTCAGAAGGGCTTAAGTAGTTTTTATATAGTTTTCAAGCGAATGCAACTGCTAAACAACATAGCGGTACTGATAATTGGTTAAGCGGCTAAAATTCCACGCAATAAAAATGACTTATTGTGCCTATTTTTTGTCAAACATCACGTGTAAATTAAGATATTGTTTTATTTTTCAGTATAACACGCGTGCCGCCAAATAAACGGGGAACAAATCGCGTTAGGGACAAAATTATAATAGTAAAAGTGCCGAAACCGACTCGAGCCCCGGGACCTGGCTGGCACCGAACGCATGGGTAGTGTTTGTAACGTTTCGTTTCGGTTTTTTTTTTTTTCGAGAGAGAGTGTGCGCGAAACGGATACAATGTGCGAGACGAAACTGAGAAAAAATAATAATGATAATAAAAAAATACGATATTATTGTATCGATCGTTATAATAATAATATTATGATGGCTCGTCGTATAAATTTCACGCGTTCTTAATTCGTTTACATCGGACTGTCGCGGCTCTCGGCGCATAAAAAAACAAAAAAAAAAAAAAAAAAAAAAAAAAAAAACCATTATATCGGATCGGATCGGCGTGGGCGCGTGTAATTCCGTTTGTTATAACACTGCGCGATTTACATATTATTATTATACGATACGACACGATCATTTCGCGTTCGTTACACGCGCCGCGCCATCGGCCGGCTACAATATCGGTCGGCCGATCGGTTCGGAATTCTTCGCGCTCCGCGTCGTAACAATAATAATATCGTAACTCGAAAGGATGTCGGGACAATAATAATATTATCGAATGGTTTTTTTTTTCTTCTTCTTCCTTTTCCCCGCTCCTCCGCGCCCTTCCCTCGCCGCCGATAGTCCGCCGCGATCGCGATGACGATTCTATCGGGAATACGCCCGCGCGCGCGATTTCAGCGTTCGGCAGCGACGACTTTGGGCCGTTGGAGACGGCTGTATTACCGTCGTTATTGCCATCGAATGAAAATACGGCTAAACCGTTAGTCTAGCTCACTGCGTATGGAAACCCGATTGAAAAAAGACCGTTTTCGCCTTTTGTTACGTTTCTGGGCAGAGACACGAGTAATATCACAACTTAAAAACGCTTGTATATCTAGTTGGAAAAAAAAAAAAAAACCAGCCTTACAACAACGGTCTTTCACCCATAATACGTCTGTCGGTTCGATTTATTAGTACGCCTAGTTTTTGATAATAAAATCTTTTTCGCGCTTTTCCAATAAGGCCAGACACAGTAAATGAAAAACGATAAACATCGATAACGGTTCGAGCGAAACACGTCCGAACCGATAGTGTGGTACAAAGCATTTTTCTCGCGACCGTTTTGTCACAGTGCCGCATTGGGTTAGCCCGCGGCCGAAATTCCTTTTTCGGTTGCGCAGTGGTTGGTCGATGCCGCCCCTGGGTATTTCGCTCCCCCCCCCCTCTTGTGCATCCCCGTCAAATATGTTTTCACGTTTATAATGCCGGAGTATACGGTCGTTTTGATTTCGCGCGTAGCCCCGAGAGTATTACTTAACATGGTAATGTTGGTAATCGCGAAGTTTTCGGCGCTTTTATAATGTTTCATAGACGATCGTTTTTTGGTGCACGTCGCTAGTGAGGGAAGGAGAAGGGAGATTGAGGGGGGTTGGCTAAAGCCGACGGGTCGTAATAGTATTGTTGCCGCGTGAAAATCGTTTCGAAAATCAAATTCGTTTCTCGGCGAAGCGAGTGTTGACCGTTTTTTTTTTTTTTTTTTAACGCTTCGTGTCCGGTATACGTCTGCGTTGGCGCACGACCGGAGAAGCCACGGCACGACGACGGTATTATAATAATAATAATAAAAAAAAACGGCGAGTCCGCTCACATTATTATTATAGTTAAAATACGCCCGTGTACTTATATTTTTATAATAGTTATATTATTATTGTGTGTATATACGGGCGATAAAAAAAATAAAAAAAAAAAAAGACGCGTCGTTTTGGCGTCGTCGTCGAAAAAACCAGTCTGCGCGGTCCGGAAAAGAACAACCGAACTGCACGCGAGACGGACGACGACGACGCGTCGTCGTATTATCGTAAAATTATTTTTACGTCGTCGTTAGGTTAGCGGTTTTATTGGACAGTAAAAAAAAAAAAAAAAAAAAACCACATATACAAGGTGTATCCGCGGGATTCGACGGTTTCCTGCGCGATCGCGTGACGTAGAAAATTGACGAATCCCGCGGATACACTCTGTATACACGTGATGCTTGTAAAAAGTCGCGTTGGCGGAAGACCGTCGTCGTCAGATCGCTGGGCACACAATATTATTAATATCAAACCGGCTTGCCGCCGTGTTCACGACGATAGTGTAAACGCTCGTTATATAATATTATTATTAAAAAAAAAAAAAAATGAACGTTCAAGCTGCTAACGGGTAGGTCGCTGTTGTGGGTGGGCACAGTCGCGGGGACCGCATACGGAGGAGTAATATTATTAGTTTATGAACGGCACGCGCCACAACGGTCCATCCATGGCTCGGTAATATGTAAGTATGATCACAACTTTGTGACGCACGGGTGCAATGGCCGCCACTGGTAGTGATTACCGTCTCGTTTCAGTCTAGCTGATAATAAACTGCCAGCTGAGTTTTCTCTCCACGAAAACCTATGGAATAAACAGTTATGCGATCACACTTATATATTTAGCCGTGGGTAAATCTTTGCCGACGAAAATACGATTCTGATCGGAGTAGTCGTAGGGGTCGTGGTTTTTGCGCCCGTCGTCATTAAAACAGCCGGGAAATCAACAAAAAAAAAAACATAATAATAACGGACCTAGAGCGTGAACCGACGAATAGAAATGTTTCGAATAGTACTGTGGCGTACTGCGACAAAAAACGGGAGCAATTTTACTAACCGTAAACGAAAATCCGAGCGTCCTCTGCTAAAAACTTTAGAACTTCTTCGCTACACTCGGAGTTTAAAATCGATCGAATCGCGTGCCAGTCGATTTTTCGCCGAATTTCCCCGCGAGCACTTCCGATACGTCTGCGCCGTGCGATTATTTTGCCCGGACCGCATTGACGTGGGATTTCGCACGAGTGTAATAGTTCGAACTTTCGAAGCAGTGCCGTAAAAATTTACCGGCGAGAAAAAAAACGTTTATTAAGAAAATATTCGATTGCGGAACATTAAGAAACTTCAATGTCGGGGCTGTGGTCATAGCGCCCTCGCACCTCTCGCACCACCCAAGACGCGGCCCCGGTAAGAAGTAAACTTACGCATCCGATCTTTGCCTGATTTGTCCGCGAGACATTTCGACATCCGCAGTTCTACCGTTCGAGTACTGTACGGTAATTTGTAACTACGGTATTCGTACATTTTTTTTTTTTTTTATCCTTCAGTCGTATTGAACCGTCAGGCCGTTGTCCACCAACCGCCTCTAATTGTGTGCGTTACCCATTTGCCGTACGTTTGCACACAAACTCACAACTCTAATTTCTAATGCCTACGATAAAAAGACCCAAACACGACGCTATTTCGCTCGAAAAAAAAAAAAAAAAAAAAAAAAAACAGACAACCGCCGTACCAACACTGCAGACAATGTGCGCTCGGCTTGAGGTTCGATAACTATCAATTGTCATTACACCTAACGGCACGAAATTTGCAAATTCGCTACACGCCGTGGCGTGTTTGCAGTGATAAATGATCACTATTATTATAATTATTATAATTGTCACTATTATTTGATTATTAAATAATAGTTTAAAGTATCTAGGTATAAAGATGGACGATAATTGCTGGGATAATTTTCTCCGGACGAAGATAATAGATCAATAACAATTTTTTAACTATCCGGATAGAGACAAATAATCAGGAGCTTTTTATATCTAGATAAAAAAAAAAGAAAGACAATTCTGTTCGTTCCCAGTCATAAAACTAATTGCTAAAAGAGTAGTAAAAGCGTATCGAATCCGGTACACGCCATTTAGAGTCTCGCTTAACGCCCGTGTGATCGACGAGATGATTAATTTATCAATGAAAAACCAAACGTTTCGCCTATTGTTTCTACTGACGATACAAATCGCGATTCAAAATGTTTTTATCCGGACGGACGCGTACATCTATCTAGACGATTCGATTGTTCGTCTTGGACAACTCGTGTCTCGCTCGTCCGGACAAGATAATAGATGCGAACGGATTCACCGTCTGGATCGGTGTTTCGCAAACGCGGGAGGGGGACGGGGCGTCAACACGTTGCCGGGGAGGCGCGAGTAGTAGTCGCCGAATAAAATTTGCGTTTATCGAGTTATTTTTTCTTTTTTTTATTTCGCAACGCGCGGGGAAACAGTGAACAATCAATAACGCGCCCGGTTATCGGGTATCGGATACGGTCTGCGAGCGGGGCCGTATTATTCGGGCAGGGGCGACGGGAGACAGTCGCCCGGGCGGCTTTGGTCTTTTCGCTCGGCGTGTCGTTAAAATCCACAAAGGGAACGCGCAGAATTCTCGGGGTCCGCGGACCGCCGGTCTAGACGGCACTCAACAACGCCGGCGCGTTATCGAGACGATACTATCGGTGGCCGGCACACGGACGTTATTTACTTGCGGGAGAGGGGGGGGGTGATAGGGCGGAATATTATTTCGAAAGACGTTTGTGTTTTTCTCTGCGCCTCCCCTTGACGCCGCCGCGGCAACAACTCGCCGTGAATAATAAATACTATAAAATCGTCATTACGCGTTGTTATTATTATTATTACGGTACACACGACACTCCTCGGCCACGCCGCTTTTGTGCTGCGCGCGACGACCCGTCGTCGTCCCGTCCATTTATCACCGCCGCCGCCGCCGCCGCCGCCCGTGGGAACGCCAAAAGGTCAAGTGGCACAGCGTTCAAAAGAAAACGCCTCGAGGCCGCCGACAACGGGCGCGGGTACACCCCTACAACACGCGCACGCATACGTCACCCGTACATTTTTAATGGCTTCATTATGTTGTTAGACGGGGTCCATTAAAAACCGATCGCGCGCGATACAAAGAAAACGCGACGTACAATACGCGCGCGTGCGTTCGTCGCTGTTACGGTTAGGTTCGGTTGGGTTCGGTTGCGTTCCGACCGCACGTTTGCGGCCGTCGTTGTCCCGGGTGTACGGCACACGCCGCGGCGGACGTCCGACTTTACCGGCCGTGGTCGCGACCCGGCGCGCGCGGTACGCTGCCGAGTCGGTTTTAAAAGTTTCGGGTGGTTTTAGCCGCAGGGCTCGCGTACGGAACGTCGCCGGCTCGCATAGGGGAAACGGAAAAACTCGACTGTCCCGACGGCCGTGCGAAAACCCGATAATAGTCCGGGGAGCGAGTGTCCCGAGCGTAAATCACGCCGCTAATCGGAATATCGCTTGTAAACGCCGGACCCGTGGTGATTTTCCGGAGGCTTATAATACAGGACCCGGGTTCGCATTCGGAACAGTGGGATTTTTCTCGTGGTTCTCCTAACGTCCGAGAAAACCCGGGAATGAACGGGGAGTACATACGCAACAGCGTTTACTGTCGCGTTCGATTCGATTCGTTTACGTTTTTGGTTTCCTATTGTTTCGCGTCACTTACCGTCAAAAGAGCGGATTTTCCGCCAGATGGACATTTGTCCTGACGATTTTTTTTAAAATTTTAAAAATAACCGACAACGAGCGACGACGATACGACATACTGTGGGTTTCATTTGTATTGCCGATTTCCTTCCGAGTTGCAAGGGAAAAAAACCACGATTGACGTACAATAATAACGATTACCGAAAGTCTACAGAGCTCCGATCAGAATTGTTTTCGGACGTTATGCAAGTGCGCTTTTGATTAGCTCGAGACGTGTGTGACCGTCGTATTACCTTACGATTAGGTAAAACCCGTCGGCAACCGTTCGTCAAATTTTTAACGCGAGACTCGTTGGCAAATTCGTATAATATATTCCGTTCAACTCGACTTTCTCTTTCGCTATAATAAAATAATATTTCGATGTATTAAAAACGAAAAAATGAAATGATTATATTTTACCCATATTTCGGAGGGGCGACGTGCTGGACATAACGAAAAATACCGCGGAGGGGATCGCGGCGGTCCTAACTGTCCGTTGAGGTATAGCAAGAAAAAATATTAATAATAAAAAGCGCTCTCGTTTCTGCAGGCGAATAACAAAAAAAAAATAACTAGATTAAAAAAATACCACTTATTACTTCATAATCGTCTTGTGTATTGCATTGAAACGGGGTAACTCGTGATGTTACGGCCGCGTGCGATACTTTTTACCGTCGTTCATTTATTACTTATACGGACGACGGTTTATTAAAAAATAATATAATATCGGTTTCGTCTGCTTTCATTTTATAGGTAGGTCGTTAAAATCCATTCGGCCGACAAGTTAAATGTTATTATAACCGACGTGCGTACTATACTGCAGTCACGGTCGCGAAGTGTTTTAAACACTCGTTTAAAACAAGTCCGTGAAACGTTTCAAACTGAAATAGGTAACTCTAATATGCTCTGGAGAGAGAAAATATTAAACTTATATGTCATATATGTGCCTATTCGTTATTAAGACTTAAACGAAAATAAACGATAATTCCTTTATTACTTATGGATGGAAGAAGTAACATTTTTCCAATCGTTATTTTCTTCTTAAATAAATACGATAACGTTTTATTTATAATATTAACTGTTGTTATGATACGATATTCACCGAGGAAAAGCGTTGAAAACAAAAACGCACAATCGTTTAAAATTGAAAACATATTTAAAAAAAAAAACATCGTTTTAAACGAAAAAACTGTTTTAATTTTTGCAACTCTAACTGCAGTACCACACCAGATCGACCGTTCAAACAATAAATGTAGTCAAATCTGAACTAGCATTCGCGCAGTTTGGACGTGTCCAAGACCCGAGGCCTGGTAAAACAATTTTTTTTTTTTCCAATGTCTTCTAGACCGTAGTTTAAAATAAATAATAAAACAATTTTCGAACGGGCCGGCGGTAACGAAATGCATTCGTTGGTATCCAACGCCTCCTCTTACCGCGTGTTATCGTTGTGCCACGTCGGATATCCGATACCGCGACTGCATTTTCTGTCGCATTTCAATAGTGCGCCTTCGCATAAGACACAGGATAATGATGACCGTTTCAAGCATAGTCATTTTTTTTCTATTTCATACTCTTTTTTCGTTATTCAACCCTAACGTTGATTTTGCACTTTCCGTATTCCATTGTTCGCTCTTTTCTACCACCAGTTAGCCTCTTCAAAAGCTGTAGGTATTGTCATTACCGCATCAGGAATAGTCATTTTTATGAATTATATCTTTTTCTTCTCATTCGCCTCCGTTCCAACTATTTGAAGTCGGCCGTCCTCGTTTTAACTTTCAGTCGACCAGATATTCTACCTCGCATACACCGGCTGTTCTCACACCATATTCAGTCGCATCCAACCATCACTTTTTTAGTCTTTGTCTTGTTCACTCTGTATTTTGATATATTATATCAAAAAGATAATTTCTGATTTCATCATATTATTACGTTTTCTTGGTCGTCCTGCACGGTCACTTTGGCCATTTGTTCTCGCTTCTATATTATTGTTGCTCAGAACGTGTCTAATCATATTCCATCTTCTATCTTAAATCACACCGAGTATCTTTTTAGTTTCGTTTACTTCGCTTAGTATGCAATCGTTTGTTCTTCGTTCTGTCCAACTATAACTCGTAGCGTTGCATATTATTTCTATCTTTTGTGTTCGCTTTTAATGCAACGCAGTAGTGTTATGGATTTTTTTTTCTCAATGTTGAGTAACCGTAGTATTCGCAGTGTTCACTATAACCTAACAAATAATACGTAATTCCCTCTTGTCGGCATTCGGCAATTTTTTTTCAACAGAAACTTATTGGCTGCGTATAATAAAGTTAAAAAATATTCATATCGAAACGTTTAAAATAAACGCAAGTCGACGGTCCTGGTCAAATTGCTAGCCTTCCCTACATCCCGACGCGCCAGGCCGTTCCTTGTTGTATAGGTCGAAAAACGATTTGGAGCGAAATCCGGTGAACGGGTAGAGACTGGAATCGTTAATTTATTTTAAAAAATGACGGGATCTAGAACATTTATTTTCCAAATAACCTTCCCGCGGACGAAAATTCCGCGTGCGGCGTGAAAAAGTGTTCGCCGCGAGAACAAAAACACATCTAAAAACAGTTCGTTCGACGTTGCCGCGTCACTCGTAATCTAATCGGGAAACGAAAATTCGGAATTCGGAAACATTTAACCGGGGGATGGGGGGGAGGAGGGGGAAAGAAAAGAAAAAAACTTCGTCATGTAACAGATTATATTATAAACACGCGAAATATTAATAATAAACCGGACGACAAAACACGAGTTCAAGTCTTTAACTATACTTATATAGTAATTTGTGTTTTGGTTTACATAATTTCCAGCGCGTATTAAAGCAATGTTTTTGGGTTGACAAAAATAATCGCGGCGACGAAAAGCGCGTTTTTTTTTTTTCTGTCTCTGACAAGGTGTTGGACGAGAAACAGAGATGTGTTATAAATTATAATAAAAAACGCGCGCGTTACAAGCGCTGCATTACAAACGACTGGATTTGTCAAGACTAGTTTACCTACCAAAGAGAATAAAAAAAAAAAAAAAAAATAATGAAAAAGAAAAAAAAATAGGTATATATATTATATTCTAAGTGGAACCGGTTCAGTTCGGTTCGGTTTAGTTTTTTTTTTTTTTTTCTCCTGTAAGTGACAACTGACAACTCCTAACAATGCTATATTTCACAATATTTATAAAATTATACTATCGCCCACCTAATATATAATACTATTGCATCCGTCTATATAATGTATACATATACTCGGCCCGAACAACCTTTTTAACATCGTGAATTATTATTATTTCTGAAATATTTCAAAACGTATAGAATTTATTATTTCGTGACATAATATTATAACACTATTTGAATTGTGTAAAGTCGAAATTTCAACTGTGTATTGTAAAATAGGTGTGCATTATAAAATACGATTATAACGTAACGATATTCTTACGTTCGACAACCCGTCGACGGGTTTAACAAATAATTTTTAAACTCGCTTCACAATTCTATGTGTAAAAACTCGAAATTTTTCTGTAATGAAGAAGTCATAGTTATCGTATTTGATAAAATATATTATCGCTTTTAAAATCCTAATTGACGAGACATTTTTTCCACGATTTTTTCCTTTTTATTACGAAAACCCCTGAGGGGTATCAAAAAACGACTTGCTCCGAGTACCGTCCCGGTCGAATTTCCGGTAGAAAATTTGTTCGCAGAAAAGAAAACGAAAATAAACATCATTTGTAAAACCGATACATTCCTCGATCCGCTCTTTGCGTGGCGATAGATTAAACATACAATAAAAATTCGCCAAAGGTAAAAAGAAAAAGAACACTGCGAAGTTGCCGAGGTGTATTACAGTATACGTGTACTGTAGTGGTACACCGATCGAGTTAGTTAGAAAAAAAAAAAAAGAAAAGAAAAAACAATATTCTATCGCCTCGAAGTCGGTACCTATACAACCGGATAATAATGTGCGTTCCCGATTGCGATCTTTGATTGCCTTGAAGTACGTACAGATACCGGTAATAATAATAATTCATAGACGGGCGAGCGCGCGCACACACGTAGACAATAAGTATTACCGCGGATATACCGCACCTTTTCGTTTTTTTTTATGTTTTTTCAACAACCGCTTGTTGTTTTTTTATATTAGTGCGAATATCCGCTATATGTACAGCTAATCAACGAGCGAAACTATTAATTACTATCGTTAGTTTATTTAGGGAACGGATTTGTATGCGTTTAAAATTCACTTGAAATCGATTGAAAACATCTAAAAAGGAAAAAAAAAAATTGGTTATGAAGTTTAAACGTCCCTTCTCCTCCGAACCGCGCCAACCGATTAATACAATTTTCCAAACTACTAAAATGATTAACGCAAAGTTGTTATCATTTTTTAATGAAATTTTATGCGTTATAAAAAAAAATTACTTTGTATATGAATAAATCATTCAATCAATAAATAATTGCGTCGCCCGGAATATTATGAAATGCTACATTTTCTATTAACCATTTAATAATTTTGTTTTTACTTTAACATTTTATTAAGCGCATCGCGTTAATCATTTTTGTAGTGTCGTACAAATTTGTTTTACAATTCGGAGCCGTTAAAGGCGGGGGAGAATATACTTAAAACCACTCTGTCATTTTTACGTTACCGAGTCGACGCGGGGACCGTTCTTTTTTTCCTCCGCTCAGTACGTTTAAAAATACGGCCTTTTTGGACGGCTATTGCTTGATACGTGTGTTTTGAAACTCCCAACGGTTCACCCCTTAGATCCTATTTTTATTTAATTTTTTGTCGTACTATAAAAATATACGAATTTTTCATAGTCGTTTTGTAATTGATTTGAACGCATTTTCTAGATATCCGGCAGTTTTTCTAAAAATTAAAAAACTAACGACTCGTCGGTTTCATTTATTTTCGATTTCTGGATTACTTTGATTATAACTATACAAACTCCGCTCAGTATCGTGTATCTTTGCTTTCCCGTATTAATAAAATTACTCTATATCCCATGTATACGTTTCGTAGTTTCAACCTACGAAAAGTGGCCTATCTGTGGTGCAAAAGTACTATGGTACGGACAATTTTGTTTCGCCTTACAGACGGAATAATTTCGCAGAATCGATAATTTTTAGTCAGTTTCCTTGCGTTATGAAGTGATTCGGTTTCTATTCGAAATGCCGAATGGCACGGGTTGCTACTCCCGTGCTCTCGTACTTTCGTCTCCGTTCTAAACCCAACCCAGTTATTTAATTCTAATCTAATCAAGAAGCTCGGACCGTCCGGTCTATACTGTGTACAATAATGTACAGCAACAGTGCACATTCGGCACTATCAACAATATTTTAAAAGATTTTTTCCTCGGCGGGGAAAGCGCGTGAACCCGCGACGGGTGTAATCGGACGCGATAATCCTCCGGTAGATTGCGTTTGTATAACTATAAGAGGGACGGGCAACCGGTGATTGACCGTTAGATGAGGCTAGCCAGGTGCCGCCTCATCAACGATTTCCTCGGCTGTTGTAATCGATATACCAACATTATAGTTATTGTTATTATCGGTAAAAACTGGAGCTCCCTATTTCATTTGTGCACGCATTCACGTGAAATTTACATTCAGATCTATAAAACCGAGCACTTAAAAATATCCGTCTACGCGTGTAATTATTCACGTGCGTATGAGTACGCGTTTTTCGCCCGCGTGTACACGGACTACCGGATTTCACGTACTTATCAATTCAAGTTTTCAAACGAGACCTCTATAGTAAAATAATACAGTCTTTTAAAAAAAAAAAAAATCATAAAGCCAATTTCGTTTCAAGTGCAACGCTGACGGAGTTCAGACGCGCGCGTATACCCGTCCCCGTACTAAATCCATTTGAATTCAAAATAATTACCGACAACCGAAGCCTTGAATCAACAATCAATACTGATTATATCCGATCAATGACGACGTGACCTCGTTTTCGGTGTCCGATAGATTTTATACTCTTCCGGCCGCCGCCGCGTATTCGTATCATGTAAAACGCCCGTAACACTATCCTGTCCCTGCTATTATCGAAATATTCGCCCCTCCCCCAATCACTTACGGGGGCTCACGAGCCGCCACTGCGGGGAACGCGCATAATATAATACGATATTTGTGTACGCTCTGCACTCGTGTTATTATTACACGATTTATTCTCGTTCGGCATCGTACGAGTGCTGCGGGTAATTCGTCTCGCGTTATACGATATAGGTCGGACCTGTCACCGGAGCACGCACACGTGAAAATGAAAAAAAAAAAATAAGAAAAAATTAATAATATCGGCGGGCGCGCGAGTCGTTACCGCGTCATAACGCCGCGGTGTCGGTAAAAATCCGAAGATAATTCGTGCGAGTCGCTGTAGGTCAAATTCTATTTATATTCTGTAACGTACCTAGCTAGGCACGTTAAACTAATATAGATTTTTTTTTTTTTTTACGCGCGACCGTACCACAGAGAGAGAGAGAAAATACCTGATTTACGATCGCCACGATTCCAATAGAATTTATATGCCCGCCCATCCGAGCAGATATTTTTCGTGTATACACCCGGTATTTCGTCGGTCTTAAATTGAGATTCTAAATTTTCACCGTGAGCCGATAGTTTTTCTGCGTACCGCGTAATGTAGCGCGAGTGACAGTATAGAATCCGAACAAAAGCGTTTTAATGATTTGTTTGTATTTTACTAATTCTATAGATTATTAAAAAAAAAAAAAACCTCCCGAAGCTACACTTGTAACTTTTTCGTTTTATTTGTTGATCAACGGCAAAAACTAGTGAAACAGGCGGCTATTATGCGGACCGCGTAGGAAATCATTTCTCGCGTTGTTCGCCACGGACACACCGGACACGGGGTATTCGATAATATCGGCGAAACACGTTAATATCGTTGCCGCTTCATCAGTTCCCCTCCTATCTAACTCGTCACGTGCTATTTTCCCGCGCCCGTCCGACCGTGTTTAACCGTGACCGTCTCCGATCTTCGGGACCCCGGAGCGTTTGGGCCAGGGTCCTCTCGTAATCCGACCGCGGTTCGGTAGCGCGGCCGTTGGTGGTTTTCGGGGGTCGCGCGCACCGGCACGGACTGCGCATCGGTATTGCCGAAGAAATACGCGGACAGTGTCTACGGAACGGTATAGCACCGATTGGTGTACAGCACCCCGAGGGACGACGGGACTCGCGTACCGAAACGACCGCGAACGCCGACGGTTTTGCCGTTTTCGGCCGATAACGTTTAGTAATTATAGGGTTTAAAACAATGAAAACCGTTGTCTCGCAATTATCGAATGCCGCGAGGACCCCGGTGAACCGATCGCGTCGGGTCTTTAAGGGCCGTATTGCAATGTACCGCCGTATTGTAAACAATCGCCGGTTAACTAAAACAAAATACGGCGCACGAATAATTCCGTCGGCCAATAACGAAATCCCCTGTACCATAATTATTATTGTTATACGAACCGATATCAAAAACGAATTCACCGTGTACACGCGCGGGCCGGTGTATCCGAATCGGTGCCCGGATTGTTTTAAAAGCGATTTCGATTTCCCTTTCTATTTTACACATATTCAGGACTGTATGGCTGTGCGGTTACGGTTAAAAACCGCGTTTTTCGTACGCTTTTTGACTCGAATCCCCCGCTCCCTCCGATTCGCGCCGCTTTCCGGGCGTCCGGTCGACCCCCCTTCTCTCTCTCTCACCCCCCCCCGTCCCCCCATCCCGTCGATACGANGGGCGTCCGGTCGACCCCCCTTCTCTCTCTCTCCCCCCCCCCCGTCCCCCCATCCCGTCGATACGAACACTATTGAAACGTACCTATAACCCGAATAAAAATACGCGTGTACTATGTCCGCAGGTACATACACTCCAAGGAAAAACCGTTCAAGTGTCTGGAGTGCGGCAAGGGGTTCTGTCAGTCGCGTACGCTGGCCGTGCACAAGATCCTCCATCTGGAAGAGTCGCCGCACAAGTGTCCGGTGTGCAGTCGCAGCTTCAACCAGCGGTCCAACCTCAAGACGCACCTGCTGACGCACACCGACATCAAACCGTACAACTGTCCGACGTGCAGCAAAGTGTTCCGCCGGAACTGCGACCTCCGCCGGCACAGCCTCACGCACAACCTGTCGCCCGCGTCCGCCACGGCCATGGCCGCGTACGTGACCGGACAGTCGGCCGACGTCCTGCACGACAAGCGTTCCGTCATCGCCGCCGCAGCCAGTGCCGCCGCCGCCGCCGCAGCCGTCGACCGCTGATCTCATGGAACACGACGTTACGTAGTAAACGTGTCCGTCCTACCGTGCATAATACGCATCTCGTCGTGTACCACCGGTTTATAATAATAATATCTGTACCGTGACAAATTACGCAGGGCGCGGCGTAACAAGTTTCGAATAATACCCGGGCGCGTACGCGGCGAATAGAAAATAACAGATTTCGAATTTGTAAACGCTCAACGGCGAAAATCGAAAACGATTCGTACCGTCGCGGCGCGCTCGCGTACACGGAAACGTCGACGGACTTTTGCCACGCCCTGTGCGCCGTTAATAGAACGAAACGTACCGACCGCGACGACAGCACTGTGGCGCTTTCGTCATCTCCGCGCGCACGCCGGCCGGAAAAATAACGTATCGTTTGTTTTAGTGTTTTCGATATTGTAATAATTAATATCGTTTGTTTCCCGGTCGGCCTCGAGGACCGCGGCCCGTTTCGTTTTTCGCGTACCTTTATGATTATTATTATTATACTATGTAAATATTTATTTTTTTTTATTATTATTATTATTATTATTCCGCGAGATTTTTTTTTTTTTTTTTATACTTTATTATCTGATTCGCAATTATTATAAATACACGCGATTTTATATTCGTAATAAAAATGTCGCGTTCGGCGTCGTACATTTTATCATTCTTACAATACTATATTTTGTTCGTGTTTTACGCGTTGCCCGAGAAAAGAACGTCTGCGGTATGCGCAGTCTGGCGGTACGGTAATCCGTCACGTGCGAGGCCCTCGGAACAATTAGTTAGTCATAGCTAATAATAATAATAAATTATTTTTTTATTTTTCACATTATTATTCGTTAAAAACCTCTGAAAATCCAAGGTTTTGGCATTCACAAAAAAAAAAAAAATCAATTCTGAGGACCGTGCGCGGAGTGCCGTTCCGCAAAAATTTGTTTCCGGTATTACTATACCTTGTGTTTGCGCAGATTCGTAAAAAAAAAAAAAAACTTTAAAAAAAATAAAACCCCGTCCTATAATACTAATTTTTAAGTTTGTATACACACCCAATAAACACAATTTACGTTTAATTGATACTTCGTCATTTTGTTAAATTATTTACTGTATCGTCGACAATTAATGTCGGACATTTACAACATCTTATCACATTCGCTTAATTTGTTTGGTTTTATGCGTGTGTTGTGTACACGCGACTAGTTTAGTAATGCACAGTATCGGCATAATTAATTATCGAAGGAATACGATAAGAACACGGCCAGAAAAAAGTATGCCGAGATGACAAAATGGAAATAGGTATAGCTAACCGTATGAGACAACAACGACGAGACGAGACGGGGGCCGTACGATTTTTACAAGGTTTGAAGAACGGCAGCTGAGACTGTCGATTGCCTCGTTAAAATCATAGTCAATTTCAATATATTTCGAACCGTTTTCCGTGTCTATTTTTCTGTGTTCGTATTTGTTTTATTTTACTTTTAAAATACGTCTCCAAGATAATTTCAGCGGCGTACTGAGACGTTTGTGACAGTGAATCACTTTTTCACTGTAGCAGATGACGGTGTTTTAATCGTAATATCTCATCCAGTACTCGCTATCGCGCAGGTAAGTCATTCGAGTGTACTCGAAAAAGCGTGTTTAGAGTAAGTTATTATTATAATTTACGTTGTAGACGGTTCTAGATCAGCCGTTCTTTCGTACAGTACTCGTTACCGCGGTCACCAAAAGAGCGGATTTAAGTTTTTTCATAAGAGTTTGAGTTCCTTTACAACAGGTATCGATATTTACGCGTTTGACGGTCTGGGAATCGGAAACATCGGAAATATCTGTTGCGTGCGTGCAACAGCGCCAAGTAGAACGGCCCACGCTTGGCTAAAAAGCACTCGTTATCGCGGTCATTTAGCTGAGGGACCGAAATCGAGAGTAAGCGTTTGAACGCCGCGACGCACAAGAACGTGTAACATTAGCCCTCAGCCGTCCGGTTAGTACAGTTGATTACCGAAGGCTTTTGGGTTCGTTTTAAACACTGCCGTACGCGTCCGAGGAATAACATGGCGTACGCAACACGTGCCGCGGAAATTCGAGTACGAATGTGATAATATTCCAATGTGCTTTTTTAAAAATAAACGCTTTTTATTAGGATTTTTTTTTTTTTTTCATACTTTCAACGTTGTGATTAAGCGAGCCAGTGATCCCCTCTATTATGCAACGCGAATTTGTTTGTTTGCGTTCTTTCATTTACTTGTCGCGTCGGAAACCACTGGCCACGGAATAAATAAAAATCCGCGAACGTAGTTTTCTAACGAACATTGCGGAGTTCTAATATGAAATTTGAAAGTGTTCTCTTGCGCTCCGTACCGATGGGTTTTCTGAGGACATGTTTTTTACCACAGTTTACGAGTTTACCGCTGTGATATTTTTGCCGGATTTTGAGCGCTATAAATAAATCCAGGACTCCGATCGTTGTTACCTGTACGTAACAACGACAACGACAACCAAGGCACCTTTTAGCAGCACCTTTGCAGCACTCCACTGGACGGTATTTCTGTGAAGCGCACAAAGGAGAAAGAGCAAGTCGGTGCTATTGTACGTTCGTTTGAAAATTAAACGCGTACGTCGATCAGATAACGCGCGTGTGAAAAATCGTACAGCGACGGAAACGGCGGTCCGATAATAATCGATCGTCTTTATTATTGCTGCGGTCGCGACATTATAACGCGACGATTCGGTTTTTTTTTTTTCCATTTGTAACAGCTGCGCGTCGTTAACCACCGCGGCGCAGCGCTAAAACAAGTGCGTCTCTCTCTCAATATATACATACGAGGGCTAATAAAAAAGTATCGAGACTGATAATATTACTCGGAAACCGAGCGTCGAAGAGCGAAACGATTTGCAAACCTAGCTTCTATGACTGAGCACATCTATTCGTGTCAAATCTCTATAAACTTCTTCCGTTTTGATTCGACGATATTTTTCTAAAATTTGTGTTTCACGTTTGGCAATTTCGTAACGAATCCAAACGAAGCGGAACTCGCTGCCGCTCGAGGGCGCATTATCAGTTTTTCAATTGACATTTAATGGCGAAAACCGCGAAATGTTCGCATCCCTCCGGAACTGGAAAAAAACGCAGACAAATTTTCTAAAATCTCCAAATCTGTCGAGTTACGCTTCTTTTGGGTTTGTTGCGAAATCGCCAAACTCGAAAAAGATATTTTACGAAAATATCAGCGAAATCAAACCGAAGAATGTCATAGAGAAGCAATAAAAACAAATGTACTCGGAAAAAGTCATGGAAGCGAGCGATACCAATCCTACCGCTCTTCGATGCTCGTTTTCCGAACGACACCACCAGTGTTGATACTTTTTGATTAGCCCTGGTATATGGTCGGCCGGCAGGTCGGCATTACGACGTAAACCATAGCGAACGGTATGGTTTAATGTGAAGAACGGCGACAACAACCGCGACGTGGAAAAAACACCACCGTCGGACGGCGGCGGCGGCGGTTACACCTCGTTCACGAATCCGCGGGCACTATACGATTTACCGGCAGCGGATGTTGTAGATTACAATATCGGCGTACCGGAACCCGGACTGTCGCGCGCGGCGGTACGCGAAAAATGTACGAAAAACACTCGTACGGCGTACGAGCTCCGGCGGGTAATACGGCGAGTAACGCGAGAGCGGCCGCGGCGTCCGTTTCGCGAAAACCGTATTGCGGTGCGCACGGCGTTCCGACCGGCGGCGGCGGTCGCGCGGCGTACAAGAGCGGGCGGGCGCGTCCGACCGGCGGCCGCTGCGCGCGCGCGATTTAAATACGCGCGCGTCGCGCAGCGCGCGCGGAACGGGGCCGGCTCTACGGGACGGCGCGGCCGAGCGTTCGAGACGATACTTGTAGTCCGGAACGCCGCCCGCCCGTGCCCGCCGCCGAAACCGCATCGTTGGTGAACATCGGTTAGAGTTCGCGCGGCTTTACCTGTAAATCGCAAAGACGGACGAAATCTGTTTTTCAGCGGCGACTCCGTCCCGCACCCGCGGGCTCCTCGTAGCCGTTCCCGACGGGACCGTTAATGCCGTAGCGTACGGGCATGGCGATTGCTACGCCTCGCCCGCGCGGGCCGGGCGTCACCGCACCGGGCGGGACGGTACTCGACAGTACCTCGGAGCGGATTTTTCGGAATTGTTCACGCCGAAACCGCGGATTTTATTTGTAAAAAAATTACAAATTAACAAATTCCGGAAAAAAAAACAAACATTTCACCGGATTTTTCCCCAGAAACAATCGCTATTACCGATATTTTTTTTTTTTTTTTGTACATCGTAGTCATTGCGGCGTAACGCTTGAACTTGTGTGTACGCTTGTCGGGGATGACCGTGTGCAAATTCAAAAACGCACTCGTCAAATCGCGCGAGCCTTCTTTACCTTTTAAGATGGTCGGGATTACGGGATGGTGAGGGGTAGGGGCGTCCGAATCTCGCGGACCCGCCCCCCGAACGCGCCGCTGCGCGCACACGCGATACGACAGCGGACGCCGCTAAAAATAAAACGCGCGTCTACATAAACCAATAAAATATGCACAGCCCCGTTGCTTACGACATCGTTCTCCGCGGTACCGTTCTCGTGTTTATTCCGGTTTCATTCATTGCGGCGACCGGTGTTTGCGTGTAAAAAAAATCATCCGATTATAATGCAAAATTAATCACGACAAACGCGAGCGGCGCGCGCGATTCCTCCGCTTTAATGGCAGCGCTCGATAAATTACAAAATCACAAAACATCGGTTTAACTGTTGTTATGCGCGTGTTTTCTTTATTTATTTATTTGTTCTTTTTCACTTTTTCTTTATCTGATCCGTAATAACGTATTGCAGGTGGCCGTATAATAATACGAACGGCCACAATAATAATATGTACACACACACACACACACGTAATTGTTACTGCGGAAAACGCGTGCGATCCGGATAGATATGTTATTATAATGTGTAGTATAGGTGATTCTCGGCCGGGGAAAAAAAAAAAAATATATAAAAACATTTAACACCGCCTGTATTATACGACGGTATACGTCCCGGCCGCGCTGTCGCGCGCGTGTAAATCGCTACACGGCGCGCGTACCAAGCGGACGCGGTAAAATTATTCAGAGTTTATAATTAACGTCAATTTACACGGGCGTTGTGCGTTCGGTGTGTTTTAGCGTCCGTTTTCGGAACGGTCCAATTGAAGGTAACTAAAAATAAAAAAACAAAACAACCAAGAGCGAGCCACCTTTGCGCCACGGGTAAGCTCCCGTTGCGCGTGCGGTGCGAAGTCGCGGATTTATACAAACCGCGGTGGCGTATTTACGCGGGCGGAGGAGAATAGGGTGTGAGGGATATATTCGTTTTGCGCTTTTTACATTATCTATTATTTATACTGCTAGAAAAACCACTACGGTTTAATGCGTGTCGGTATACCCGTGTAGTTGTATATTGAAAAAACATCAACGTATACGTTTTCCGTTTACATTTTACCCATCAGATTTTGTTTGTTTTTTTTTTTTTTGTAAAAATTACTACTTATATTTAAAAATGACTTAGTATATCGCGTTGACTTATCGGTTCTGAAATTTTTTATGGTATCAATTATATTACACCTGTTATCGTAATTAGTAATTTAAAATGTTTTCATATCTGTAGGTACTCTGATATTAATTAAAACTATACGACACGAAAACGAACCGTTTTCACCGGCCCCGTGATGTAGTTCGAAATCTTTCTCGGTACAATGATTTTGTTTTACAATAATTATATTATAGGTCTTATCAGTTCGATCAGAAAAAATTTTAAAAACTATTAAAAAATAATTAAAATCTCCCGTAATCTTTTATTCGTGAAAAATAAATGAATGTTGCGAATAAAATCGCATTGAACACCGCGTAATTTTAGAAACGCATTGTACATACAGGTGCATTGTAAGTAATTAAGATTAAAAAAAAAAAACCGACCTAATTGAATTGTCAACGAGGAAATGAAGGCGAAAATATTGTACTGCACAGCTGTAGCTACTATACGTACACGCAAAAAA